CACAAATATTTGGAAAAATATTTTCGTCACCAATTTCGTCGCTATATAATTGTCACTAAAAGCCTCCATAAAGAAAATGCATTTCGTCAACAATGTAGTAACTTTAGGGTCGAAATTTTTCATCACCCATTAGAGAGCATTTTATCACAAAAAACCTTCTATTTGGCCACTAAAGACAAATCCAGTATTATATATATAGAATTTTGAGTAAATTATATAAATAGTCCCTGTAGTTTACGTAATGTGTTAATTTGATCACTATTATTTCAATTTTCTTAATTTTACCCTTTAATTTAATAGATTGTATCAATTTAGTCCAATAAAGCTTGGTGGACTGAAAGTCATACTATGTGTCAATTTGATTCCTATAGTTTACATTAGTTTACATAATATGTTAATTTGATCCCTATAGTTTTCACAAACTATGTGTCAAATTGACTGAAAGTCAAACTCTTTGCTTGATTTTGACAGAGATCAAATTGACACATTATGTAAATTACGGGGACCAAATTGATACACTGTTTAGATTTTTCGTCCACCAAACTTAACAACAGTTATTTATTGGATTAAAATAATACAATTTGTTAAATTAATGGGTAAAATTTAGCAAATTAAAACAACATGGACCAAATTGGCACATCGTGTAAACTATAAAGACTATTTATATAATTTATCCTAGAATTTTTGTTGACAAAAAAAATTTTGTCACAAATTTTGGTCACTAGCGAGGAAATATATTTTGTCACGATAAGTTGTGTACGTGATGAAATTTTTCATCACAAAAAAAAAGAATAAAAAAAAGTTATTGTTGCAAAGAATACACATTTCATCACAGTAAAAAAAGTATAAGTAATGAAACATTTGGTCACAAAACATGTTTTTCTCTATATGGGCAAATTTTATTTTACTGAGTTACGAATGGCTTACCTCCTCAACATTTGAAAATGATCACATAATCTTCACGTGATTTTGTGGATTACAATGCACCGTTAAACTTTCCATTTAATTTAATAGTAAATGTGAAATACGTGGCAGATATAAGGAGGTTATATGTTTATTTTCAAATTTCAAGGGGATAAATTGCGTAGAGAATAAAGTGTAGGAGTTAAAGTGCACTTTACCTTCCAAACAAATGACGAAACTATCCATAATTTACAAATTTAAGTTACTTATATATTGGAATATTTTAATTTTTTTTATTAAATCGTTAACGGGCCTAACAATACAATGCATTTCAATCCACAAGCCACAAGGAATTATGTAGTCATTTCCAAACATTAGAGTAATAAATCATATATGGCCCAAACTATGAGAAATAAAATAATATTTGCCATGTATTTCAAATTTCAATTTAAATTATTTTTCACAAATACCGTTGTTGAATGCTCAAACGTGGAAAATCTAATAACAATCCACTAACTATTCAAATCTAAAAACATTACACTTTAGTAATACCTTGGTATTACTAGTCCCAATGCCCTTCCTATAGCCCAAAACAAACGGGGCCTAACTGTTATAAGCAATTCCATAAAATAATTCATTAAACAACTCGTATTATAAATCAAAATATATCCATCAAATAAATTTTATGATCTATAAATTCTAAAACAATAAAAATATCACAATCAATCCTAACATCAACAAAGTAACAGTTCCCAAAAATCAACACTTAATTTTGCTTTGCAAAACAAGCTACCAACAAAGAATCTATCCACAAAAACCAACAAAATGAACACTTGATCTGGCTTTTACCAACGAAGTATCTGAATCTAAAGGATCAATTCCAACAAATATTGAACTTAAAATAAAAAGCTAAATTGATTTATTTCTAAAATTTTAATATTTAATAAATGGGAGGAAACCCATTCTTCCAATTTGTTGCTTGTTTTGTTAATGAATTGAGTGAATTTCCTTTCTTTTTTTTTTTTTTTTTGATCAGCAAATAGAATCTTTATCGATGACAAATCCATACAATACATATGGGGGGACATCAATAAAGATGAGAAACAAGGAAAGGGAAAAGAGAACCAAACAAAATGTTGGTGAGGAACCAACAAAGCACACTCAGACAAACAGCAGCAACCACACCAAAAACCAGTAGTATAACAACACCAATGTAGCAGCAGTATAACAACAGCAGCAACCACATCAGCAGTATAACAGCACCAAAAACCAGTCAAAGCAGCTTCTATCAACCAGCACTCCACCTGATTTGGTGTAAATTGGATACTATATCATGAACTGAGTAGTCGACCTTCAAATGCCATTTGGTCCATAAGGCAATCTGCAATTTAACCTTCTCAGTAAAAACTTGAAAATCAGGATGGGCTCCCTTGAACAAACACTCATTCCTCAACTTCCACACAGACCAAAAAACAAAAGAGGGGATAATCTGCCAGATTTTAAGCTCCCAAGACTTGTACCTGAATTTACCAGCAGACCACCAATGTAGCAGCCCTGCTACTGAACCTGCAATAGCCCAGACCAGATCCCACCAGTCTACCAGATGAGACCAACACTTCCACACCAGAGGGCAGAACAGAAACACATAATCGACAGTTTCCACCTCAGCTTGGCAAAAAGTACACAGATTGTTAGCACTTTCAGCAAAGGCCCCTATTCTTTGGAGGAAGGAAGCTGTTTTAGCCTGCCACGCCAAGCCAACCAACATAGAAATTGCATTTTTGGAGGGGCAAAACTTACCCACACCCCTGCTGGGAGTGAATTTCCATATGCACAAGCCCATTTCGTCTTGTGATTCTTTCATTGTAAAGAAATACAATAGTTTATATTTACAATTTGTCTTGAACATCACATCAAACAAGCGAAAGAAACAAACAGAAAATTATTTATAGATATTTACCATTTGTTCCTTATGATAACTGGGTTCATGAATTACAGTCAACAAACAGTACAACAAATGGTACGACAAAGTTTCATTATTACCTTATTCCACACGAATCATGTACCAGTAACTATTCAATACACTTATGAAAATGGATCACATCGGAGTGATTTCATAGCTAAATCCACTTTGAATTTGTTAAATGCATTGCTTGTGAAGTATGTATTTGCGTATGCTCTATAGATCTACCCGTTGTTGATTGGAAACAAATATTTGAAAGAAACGGTTGCTTAATTACAATATTGATTTTGAAATTTGTCTATTTTGTGGCAATTGCAGAACATTTAAATAAGTTTGATTCTTTATTGGAAATATGTGTCTAAATTTTCTGTGTTTAGGACAGTTGTCTATTTTGTGGCAATTGCAGAACATTTAAATAAGTTTGATTCTTTATTGGAAATATGTGTCTAAATTTTCTGTGTTTAGGACAGTTCTAGAACAATCTAAAAATTAAAAAAATCCAACGAAAAGTTCATGAAAGACAAAAACAACATTAAATATCATGTTAAAAAAAAAAAATTAGTGTACTTTTTTCAACAAAAAAAAAAAATATAGTTTCTTTTTTTTTTTATTAACTTTTTTGATCTGTTTAATCTAGTAGGACCTAAAAGTAAATTTTTAAAAAAAAAAAAAAAATTCACTAAATAAAAAAACTGCTGAAAAGCAATAACCAAAACAAGGGTTGCACTTACAGTTCAAAAAAATAAAAAAATAAATAAGGGTTGCACTTTTCACGTCTGTCTAATAATCTATGTGATATGTATGTTTGAACTTTGAAATCATAAAATTAAGTTTGGTTAAGAAAGTGGTAGAAATAAAATAAAAAAAAAAAATTAAAAATATATATATATATATCTTTTGGTACAATTCATGATAGCATGATAAATGATTATGTTTGTAGTTTCTTGCAAATAAATACAAGAAAAAATAAATTTATTATAAAAATAGTTACTTATAATTAAAAATCCTATTTTTCCTTTTCTTGCAAAATTTGTATCCAAATCAAATTCGTACAATATAGGGAAAATAAGCAGAACCAGAGAAGGTTGCAATTTGCTGAGCTGGTGAACCTCTGAATGCTTGATTTATGTGTCTTAGGCCGTTAAGATACAGAAACAAGCACTTGTCAGCCTTAGATCTGAATCAAGTAGTAGCTTCTTCAAGGACATCCACATCTACTTTTGTTTGTTAATGCATTTAATAACTCTCTCTGTATTGATAATACCTGTTCGGTTAGGCCTCGTTTGGAAACAAACTATTTTAATAATTTTTTGACTTTTTACAAAAAAAAGTGCCGAAAAGTAGAGAGAATGATGTGACAACTTATAGTAATTTTTTGACTTTTTAGCTAAAACATGTAGTCGCCAAACGAGGCCTTAATACCCTTTTAATCCATTAGGTAATGCTCCCATGCATCCCTTAAAAAATGGTGTACATATGCAAGTTATGATATATTACAAAGTATCATAACTATATCACTTTATGTCATAATTGAATGAATCATAACTGACCACTTTTGAAGTATAGCCAAACATCTTTTTAGTCATAATCAAAATTACAATCACGATATATCATAACTGAATCATAATTAATACCACAATGTATCATAATCAAATATCACAATAAATCATAATCAAATACCATAAAGATCATAATTAAAACATATGATACATACGTTTTAATGTGTGTACTATAGAATTTCTTCTAATCGATATTATAAGAATGGGAAAAAAAGAAAGATGGCATTTCCCGGAAGTTACACCGGGGGTAGAATAGAACCGGAAGTGGGAGAAAAATTATAAGTCAACGTTTGATGTTAATCATGCAACTTGTAAGGTCATTGTGTGGATGCTGATATAAGACTGCTAGTTTTGTATTTTTAGGGAAGTAAGCGGCCAGTTCATATTTAAGTGTGGTTCTCAATAGGAGATAAATTACAAGAATAATGCTTGGGACCCCCTTTTGGGGGTCACCCCCTCACCCCCTTTGCCACGTGGCAGGGGGTGATTGGAGGAGCAGGAAAAAAAAGAAAAAGAAAAAGAAAAGGTAACCAATGAGAGAGAGAGGGGGTCAAAGGGGGTGGGGGGAAAAGGGGGGATGAATCATTACTCAAATTACAAATATACTGAGAATTACATCTAACGGAAAATTAAACTTTCAAAGAATTTTCAAAGACCAACATACAATCACAAACATAGAACAAATCTAAAAAACACAATTCAAAGACGGTCAACAAATATAAAAGGGGAAAGACCCGCAAATAAGTGCGAAGATTCACGGGGCACAAATGACACACATGAATGATCTGAAGCCAGCCACAAACAATTACTAAGCAACATCAAAATCTAGTCCTTTTCCTAATGATTCCAGCTATGATTTGTCCGAGCTCTTCACCACAATCCTCCTGTACATGATGCCCTGCCTGAAAAGGCAACAAATCGTATATATTTATCTCCAAACAAAACTTCTCTTAAGGACAATGGCACTCAAAACAGAAAAAGAGTGTGTGACAGCCCAAAGAACATCAAGTGCCAGAATCATATTATTAACCAACCTTGAATACCTTACGTTAAATTCACTATCTTATTATATAAAGTACACAAGGTAAAGTAGAAATTGGTGATTAAGAAGCTTGAAACATAAACATGTGAGTTATACTATCAACCATTAAGACTTAAGAACTAGTCACCTCTTGAATATAGCAAGCAAACAAATATTACATCAAGTATGCTTACATAATATGACTGAAACTTATCTTGATTTAATTACCTCGCAATATCCTAAAGATAGAGATATGAAAATGTTCGTTATGAGAAAATGCAGAAGGTGTTAAATATGAATAGGGAACCTAGCTAGCTTTGATGGACCAGAATGTGAAACTTCAAGAATGAAAACTTAATTTGTATTGAAGAGTTAGGGAAACTATTTGAAATGGAAAGTTGAATGTTTAGACGATTTAGAAAACCTTAAGTGAGGAGTTTAATCATTTTAGTTTAATGAGCAGAGTTTAATGGATACTAATTAAAAATTAAGCAGGATTAGTAAAAGTTAAGAGAGATTAACTAAGCCTAAGCAAGATTAATGAAGCTAATGAAGATTAAGAACTAAACATGATTAATTAGAACTAAACATGGTTAATTAGACTAATGGAGCAATTAGTGATTAAGCTAATCAAATCATACGAAATAAAAGAGAAGAATTTAGAGAGATGAAGAAGAGTCGAGAAGTTGGGTGTTCTTGAGCTCAAGAAGAAGAAAGCAAAAAGAAAAAGAATAGAAAAATGAAGAAAAATCAAAGGAAGGTAGAATTTAAGCCTAGAAATCAAAGAAAAATCATCCATAGGTAAGAAACTCAAACCTCTTTCATATTTTAATACCATAATCTAGCTAGAAATTCATTTGAACTAAGTTCTAGGAAGATTAATGTGAAAGAAAATAGAAAAGTTAGAAGTTAGAAAAGGGTTTGATGATTTGCTTGAAAAACTAAGTTTTGAATGGTTCTTACCTTCTACGTTACACGGACTCGGGTACAGGTATGGGTATCGGGTGCGGATGCGTATCTAGGGGTCAGATACTTCAAAATTAAAAATTGAGGATACTTGGATATGGATCTAAATTTGAATACGGGTACGGAAATAAGTTAAACAGTTATTTTTTAAATATATTTATTATATGAAGATGAGTTAAAAAAAACTAAGGAAAAACAAATTTTGTTTAAAAAAATAACGAATATAATTATAAAAATTAAAATTTATTTTAGGTATAAAATAAATTATATTATATATGATAAAAAAAATTATTTTTATTTTAGACATAAAAATTATATTATTTGTGATATATTATATTATACAATATTTTTTTGGATAAATAATATAATATAATATGAATAATATATGGCAACTTCTGGAGGATAAAGCAACAGAAAGAAAAAATATTATATTATATAATAATAATATAAATCTAATAAAAAAGAAGAGAGAGAAGAGAGAGAAGTCAACAGAAGAAGAGAGAGAGAGAGAAAGTAGAAGAACAGGGAGATCGAGAGATGAAAGAGAAGATAGAGAAGGAGATCGAGCATTGAGCAAAAATCGAAGCCCGCGACCAAGTCAACAATTAGATCGATGTCTTCACCCTTTCGAACGGCGACCAGGTTCTCTCTTGCTATCTCCTCTTTGATTTCTTCTGCAGTATCCGTTTGTAAAGAGCTGTATCCCGGCCATATCCCACACCCGTATCCGTGTCGTGTCAATGCGGGGACCTTCGAAAATCTAAAAGGTTTGTGTAACGTAGCTTACCCTAGATTTGAGTTATATAAATGCTATACTATGAATCTATATCATTTCTTCATACCTAGGAGCCTTAAAATCATGTATTTGAGGATTGGAAGTGGTGAAATAAAAAGAAGTTTGGAAAAGATATGAAACTTGAATCAAATCACATCTTTTAGTTGTTTGATCTCAAAATCAACACATAAAAATGAGTTTCTATTGATTTTCCATCATATTTCTACGCATTAGGGAGTTATATAACATGTTTTAGGTTTTGGAAGCTTGAAAAATGGATTTTGAACCTCAAGAATAGCCAAGAACAGCAAGAATCTGAAGCTGCCCAAATCTATCGCACGTGCGGCAGCAAAAACTGCACATGTAGCGTGCCCTCCTCCGCACATGCGGCAACCCAACCCTGAACCAAATTGGAGGCTTGAAATAATTACGCGTGCGTCCCGCACATGCAGCCCTGGATCCCGCACGTGCGGAAATCAGGGTAGTTGCCTGTTTTCTTTTCTTTTTGATCCTTTCAACCCTCAGATACCCTTACGCACGTTTTGAACCTAAATGAAAGATGAACACGATTCGAAATCAATCTAAAACATATTTAACTAGAAAAGACAAAGCTAAGTTAAGATAATTTAACTATTAAATCTTTGCTTTATCAATATTTGTATTCTTATGTTTAAACCGAGACCGTTAAGGAGTAAAGCCGAGCATGAGCCATCTGTGAGTAATATTTTTGTTAAGTTATGTTTGAAAAAGTGTTTTATAAAGTGAAAAGTGTTTTGTTTATAAAATGTTTATTTGTTAAAACCTATCACCTACTTCACCCACTTAAACCTACTCCACTAAACCTAACCCACTACACCACTACCACCTCCACTTCACCTACAAACCCACTACACCACTACCACCTCCACTTACTCCACTAAACCTAACCCACTACACCACCTACTCTCCACCTACTTCACCCACTCTCACCTACTCCACTAAACCTAACCCACTAAATCCACATACTCTCCACCTACTTCACCCACTTAAACCTAATCCACTAAACCTAACCCACTACACCACCTACTCTCCACCTACTTCACCCACTCTCACCTACTCCACTAAACCTAACCCACTAAATCCACATACTCTCCACCTACTTCACCCACTTAAACCTACTCCACTAAACCTAACCCACTAAATCCACATACTCTCCACCTACTTCACCCACTTAAACCTACTCCACTAAACCTAACCCACTAAATCCACATACTCTCCACCTACTTCACCCACTTAAACCTACTCCACTAAACCTAACCCACTAAATCCACATACTCTCCACCTACTTCACCCACTTAAACCTACTCCACTAAACCTAACCCACTACACCACTACCACCTCACCTACTCCACTAAACCTAACCCACTAAATCCACATACTCTCCACCTACTTCACCCACTTAAACCTACTCCACTAAACCTAACCCACTACACCACTACCACCTCCACTTCACCTACTCCTTACCTACTACACACTCACCATTTCTTGTCCTTCGCTGCTATGGATGTCTATTACTTGTTTCTGTCCTGAGCATTATCTTATCATTTTGGTAATTGTTGTGGTACTACATCGTTGTGATGTTATGCTTCTAAAGATGAGTATACTTTTCATTATTTTGACTTAGGCTGCTGAAATAGAGACACTGAGCCAAGAAAAGGTGAAAATGACTGAAGAAAAGGACAAGCTTGAAATTCACTGCGAAAAACTGACTGAGGAAGCTTCCTATGCAAAAGAGCTGGCTGCAGATGCAGCAGTTGAGCTGCGTAACTTGGCTGAAGAAGTGACAAAACTTACTTACCAAAATGCTAAACTGACTGCTGATCTGGCTGCTGCAAAGGAGGCTTGTTGTATATCTAACTCCTTTCAAAGATCTGCTTCATTTGATGTGAAGAAAAATAGTGGCAATGATGCTCAACCTGATGCATGCTCAAGAAAACCCGACAATGTATTGGTGGGGGAGTTGCAGCATGAACTTAACACAAGATACCAAAAAGAAACTTCTTTGGTAACCGCATTATCTGAGAGTGATGAAATAGCAGATGAGCTGCGGAAAAGACTTAATGAAGCAAAGTGTCGTGAAGAAGATCTGGAAAATGAGCTGGCCAATATGTGGGTGCTAGTTGCAGAGATGAGGAAGTCTGGCATGAATTATGAGGACATTTCTTCACAGGGGGATCATGTTTCTAACAATTTGCAAACAGTACAAAATGTCAAAAAGTATAAATTTTCATGGTCACACTATACCATGACTTTTGGTGTTCTCCCACCTCCACTTCACCTACTCCACTAAACCTAATCCACTACACCACTACCACCTCACCTACTCCACTAAACCTAGCCCACTACACCACTACCACCTCCACTTCACCTACTCCACTACACCACTACCACCTCACCTACTCCACTAAACCTAGCCCACTACACCACTACCACCTCCACTTCACCTACTCCACTACACCACTACCACCTCACCTACTCCACTAAACCTATCACCTACTTCACCCACTTAAACCTACTCCACTAAGCCTAACCCACTACACCACTACCACCTCCACTTCACCTACTCCTTACCTACTACACACTCACCCTCTTCTATATATAGGAATCATGAATCATTGTAATAAATATAACATTACATCAATCAATAATACATACAATTTATTCTCTCTCTATCAATTTATTTTTACACCTCAGAACGAGCACAATATGCAACATCACCAAGCGCTTAATCGGTGACGTCTGAGTCTTAAGGTCGGTAAAAAATGGGGTGTCTACAAATAAATGAATATTCTATATTTCTGTGAATCTAGTAGTGACATCCTTTAGTGAGGCTCAGTGAGGCTCTTGCCATGGGGGGGTATAATACCATGGCCCTTCGATTATTGATTTGCAGAGATCTTCATTTGACAACCATGTATGGTTGGATAGTTTACTCTATTGGATGTACCATGTTATTATGCTTTTGATTATAAGCTATTCGTATGAATTATTCGAATGCTTTTGAAATCATGAACTGGAATGGATCTTTTTTAAATGCTTGGAATTCATTTATTTACCACTTTACTTTAATATTATTCACTAGGCAATGGCTCACCCCTCACCTTATATATATGTAGGTGCAAGAGAAGCATTATGAAGAGGATAGCTCCGAGGAGTTTTTGTATATATGCTAGAGTCAAGGACGTTGTAATATGTCATGTATATATTGCATTTTTCTTTAAAAGAATATGTAAATAAGCATGATATATGTTTCATTTCATATAGCAAAGCACTGCTTTGAATTGATGTTTTAATTGGACTCAATATAGGTAATTAATGACTTCTACACTCTTTTGTAAAGAAACTTTTTGCCCCAACTATCATAAGAGTCCAGTTTGATTTGATTTTTGTTCACCCAGGCCTTCGGTAGTCAGCGACTACTGGCCGGTCACCTCACCATCCTATTTGGGACGGGTTGGGGTCGTGAGAGAGAGAGAGAGAGAGAACCATACTACATTTGGAAGTAGAGAAGACAGATGTAAATTGGAATAGCTAACCCAAGGGGCAAGCATGAGAAATTATGAATACTGATTAGTGGAAACAACTTAGAATACTGAAGAACCTGATGAGAACCTCCATGACGAACTATTTCAAATGCAACATAAGCATTGACATAACATGAGATAGCATACAGAGAACCAGTTTAAAAGGCAATTTATCAAAAAAATTGTGTTAATGTTTCCAATTCGAATTCTTAAACGTCTTAAAATAAGTTCCTACATGAAAGATATCATTTATGGGTGTGTTTTTGACAATGGAAAATACCACTTGAAAAAACTGTTACCTCATGTTCTTCAAGCATTCCGCTTTATTTTCAAATTTGATTTTTAAAAATAAAGTTCTCCCTCATACCATATGGACAGGAGGAAAACTGAAACATTTTAAATCTAAATGCATACATAAGCTCAGTTCCCAAAAGAAAAATACCCACATATGTGGAGGATCCAAAGATTGAAAGGAAAAGGTTTCATTTTCTAGAATGCCATAAAATGAAATGAACTGTTAAACCTTTACATATAAAAAATTATCAGGTTAGTCAGGAACACCAGTGTGGCAGCATGCTTGTCCAATTACACACATTCAAGTGTTCACTTTGTTCCTAATTTTTTTCGGAAAAATGGTGACATGCCACCTATTGTTGGTGGGCACATGACCTTATGGCGTTCCGGGAACACCAAATAACTTCTTGCTATATAATGTGTGTTCTCTATGTTCCACTTTTAAAGAAAACACCTATGGATTTTCTGATGCGGAATGTGTGTCCACCATGGATATTTTATAATTTTTCTTTATTTAATCTGTTTTAATATTTTGTTTTAATTATAGTTTAATTTAGAGATTTAGTTTGGTTAAGATTTTATTATTATTTGTTTCCATATTCTAATAGGATCTGGTTTCCTTTTGTATTAGGGTTTTTAGCCTATATAAGTATTAGGTTTGCATTGTATTCTTCAGCTTTGATTAATGAGAGTTGAAGTATTAAGGCTGTGGCCGTTGTGTTAGGACTGTGGTCCTCTTCTTCCTGCCCTCTCTTTCTTCTCTCTTATCTTGCTCTAAAGCATTCTACATCATTTTCCTGGTAAAACATGTTTCCCCAAACAATTCACATTAGCTAGTAAAAAGAACTGTTAATACCATAGGAAGTTCGATGAGTCTATGCTTTGAAATTTCACAGAAATCTTCGACTCCATCATAGGTTAACCAGCGGTCTCTTTGGCCCCAACATATTGTGGTTGGAACTCCCCAATTTTTGTCCATAAGTATCTTCCTCATTTCTTCAACATAGGTCTGCATTAACAAAAAAAGAAATGAAGTTGAATTAAAAATCAGCATCATCTTTTTCTATGAGACATTGGGTTCTGGAATTTCTGCATGCACCATTTGGAATAAATGGACTATTAACCCAATAGAATGTAGCAGAGTCTAGTCAGTTCCCTAAATCTTGGCATAAGGCACAAAGTTTGAAGCTGTCTAAAGCATGCACCATGCATCATATCCCACCAAGATATTTCTTGAACTTAATATTGGGATGAATAATGAACCTTTCACATACAATGTTTTTATTTTAGTCAGGCAGAGTAAGTACAACCTTCTATGTCAAAACAATTGTCATAGAACCTTTTAAAAACCAATCATGAAAAAATTATGCTACAACTGCACATTGACTAGAGCATTTAAGATTCAAAAAACAAATAGCATCTCAATTCACAGACTTCCAACTATCATTAGTCACCTCTCTCTTACAATAACAAATAATATCCTCAATAATAATGATTGAATAGGCCTCACTTTAGCACTAAATTTTTTTTTTTTTTTAAAAAGTACACAGTTTAATACCCCCTGGATTGGATCTGGGAGGGGTAGATTCAGTACAGACCTAACTCGTGTTCAAACTGACAACCCTAAGGTTAGAATAGGCTAAGGTTTAACCACTGAATTAGTGGCCCTTATACTATGTTCAGGTTAGTAGGCCTCACTTTTGCATTGGTATCAATGATAGAATCCACTCTAGTCCAGCCCTAGGAGGGCTGAACACCTCTGCAACGTTGTGTTCCTGTTAGTCCCCCAATACAATTACCTAGTACTTCCTTAGTTCAACTGATCAACAAGCTTAGCATCCATCGTAAGCCTCATTCAGTCATATAGTGTATGTGTGTGTGTGCGGGCACACGTCCCAAATTTGTAGCTGCCTTCATTCTATCATGATGTAGAACATAGCACAGCAAATGCTTAGACTACAATACAGACACATCCTGAGCATGAAAATATGCATAATTGTTTCTATAGAACAAACAAGTCATCTCAATTTAGGAGTTCCATATCCAAGGATCTGTCCCACCATATCTTCGTCCTGGAGTGCATGAGGAACAACACTGAGGATACTGCTACCTTTGTGCTATTCCATTGCGTTGGTCTCTACTTCTCAAAAGTGAGTGGGTCCATGAGTTCAAGGATTTTCAGACCCCCAGCATGGCCACAAGCCTTTATGTGATCATCTTGAAGTCCTCTACATATGTTCAGTTATTACCCTTCAATAATCTCTCCCTGGTTTACCATTGTTAGATGGAGACATTAACAAATGATTTATGGCATTCTCAGCAAGCATGGACACAAGAAGGATGGTTCCTAGATCCATTGTTTACGTGTTTGAGTGTATCAAAGAAGTCTTGGTGTCTGACACAACATCAACATGGAGACAACTCTACAGAGAGTTCCCAAGTTACCTAGATGATCATACCAACAGTGGTGTAGAACCAGAAAACGAAGAAGTACAATTAGAGTTTCTGAATTCTCTCAATCAATATTCATCAAGCAAAACATGAGTATCTCCCTTACAGAATCCCATGTATGTGTGTGTGTTCCATAACCAAATAAGGAAATTCAGCGAAAAAATTAGAAAAAAAAATCCTAAAATTAAATCTCCTAAAATTATTAGGCTGTCAATTGGCGCCTCTTGAACCTAAAATATGTCTTCATGCCTTTCCTTGCTTGATCACCATCAAACAGCTAAAGACATTTTGGTTATGTTTGTTTGGGTGGACATGAGTTTGGGATTGGACTAATAGTCCAATAAAATTATTAATCTGATGTTTGGTTAAACAATTGAAATACGGATTAATTATTTTAAACTTAACTATTAGTTAAGATAGGATACATAATCCAACAGATTCGTAGTCTTAGGACTATTAGTCATGAAAATGTTAATCCAGTCCGCCTAAACAAACATGGCCTTTTTGTATTGTAATCTTTTTTTTTTTTGTCAAGTCATTTATGTATTGTAATGTTATTATAACTTTATTTTTATTTTTTTATTTTCGCTTGGAAAGATTTACCTGTGACTACCCCAACCTCCCCCCCTCCCTATACAACCTAAGTGAAATAATAGAAACATATTGGCTATTTTTTTTATTCTAAGCATTCACATATGTATATCTTTTTTTCAACTAGGCAACAATCACACTTAAACCCAACATAATGTTGGAATACTGAGGGGATACCATCTAGCCCACTTTCCTCTTCAGTTTTTTTGACTTGGAAAGGTACTTACAAACAGGTGAAAAACTGCCACCAGTAGAACTTAGCATTGAGTTTATTATCTCTGAATGTATACCCCTTCTTTTGAACATAACATTCATAATGTGCTAGAACAAAAGTGTCCAGGTAACTAGACCAAAAAAGACAATGGGAAACCATAACTGTACCTCAAGTTCCTTCTTCATTGCCCTACTGATCGCATTCAATGCAAACCCTGAGGAACCAGATGTGAGGTAAGGTCTTCTATAAACCATTGCATCAGCTTCTTTCATTTTGTAAGGACCACAGCTTGTCAAGGCTTTATCACTGGCCCTCAGAGGATCCTGGATGGCAGATGAGCTGGATCAAAAATTAAATACTAACATCTACATTGTAAAATCTTCAAATAAAAGATAAAATGATCCACATGAGTACGATAATCTTAAAATTTTCTTGCATTCTTCCTACCTGGGAAAATATTTCACCCAACAAAAAGTTGCTGAATATGGACAATGTTGACGGCAGGTTGGCATGTTTTGCTGTTAGCTTTAGTACACCATGAAGAAAAAACAGTATTAGGTTTCGTCATTTGAAAAAAGGCAAAGAACATGCATGCATCACGCCTAAACGAAATTGGATAAAAATATGCACACTGGCTTGTGTGTACAGAATTTGCTTCCATCAAACTTGTCATGAATAAATTTAATACACGGAAAATTGCAGAACATCCACTAAGGTTTTTCAGAGTTTCACTGCGCTTCCAAGAGGATTTTGCCCTTATCGACATAAAATTTGTTACGAGACAATGCGTGCTAGAATAGAAATAATTTAATGAAAATTAAAACTGAAAAGAGGCAAGGGTAAACCAATACAAAACTCAAGGGAGTTTAGATTACTGCAAAAACCTTAAGGGAGAGAGGCATAATTTCAAAAATGTCATGGGAGGTCAATATTGTGAGAATATGTGTATGTTCTATATTTGGCATGATTGTGATTGTACATATTATAGGCGTAATTGTGTATAGGCGTGATTGTATTTTCCATTTTTGGTTTCAGTGTTAGGGCTATATTATCTAGGTCTTCTTGTAATCAATTACACAATTGGAATATACAAAATTACAGAAAGCTTACATGGTATCAGAGCCACGTCTGAAATCCTAGGTCTGGCCTTGATCATTCGAAGTTCTTTCTCTTCGTTCCCGCTTGCTGTTTGAAGTCTTCTCTGGTCTTCTCCGAAGCCACGAAGGTCTTTCTAGGCTTCTCCGGAGTCGCAACAGTCTTCTCCGAAGTCACCACAGCCCTCTCTGTCTTCGCCGAAGTCGTGACTGACTTCTGGTGCTTGGTTTGATGTTGCGACTCTAGTCTGGGTTTGAGGGATCTCTCTCTCTCTCTCTCTCTCTCTCTCTCTCTCTATCGCGACCTCTGTTTTGGCTCGATTTCTGGTTTTCTCTCTCTGGCTGTGTCAATCAAAACTTCTGCTTTGGCTTTCTCTGGTCTTTGCTCTCGATTTTAGTTCTCTTTCTGCTCTCTGGTCTCTGTTTTTTTCTTCCAGTCCACTAGTATTTGACCCCTCTGTCTCAACTTTGGGTTATTATAGTTTGACCCCTCAAATTTATTAGGTTTTTTCACTTTGCCCCATTAGTTCTCTTCTCTTTTATTTTTGGTTCATTACAATATCAGAAGATAAAATCCAAACTATTAAATGTAAATTTACAGGTGACAACTATGCTTATTGGTCTAGTATTATGAGAAATTTTTTTCTCGGTCAAAAAAAATAGGGATATGTTTCTGTTTCTGGTTCTGGTTCTGTTCCTCGTCTATCGGATCTTAAACAAGAAGAATATCTAATTTCCTATGACACTTGGGATTGTGATAATGCTCAAGTTTTGACCTGGTTCCATAACTCTATGGATGACCATATTGAGATGATGTTCTCTAAATATAGCACTGCCAAAGAGATGTGGGATTACTTACAAAGTGTTTATCAACAGTCCAGCTTTGCCAAACGATATGAGTTGGAGACAGCTATTCAGGAGCTCGTCAGCGGGATCTATCTATTTAAGATTTCTATATTGAAATAACAGGTCTCTGGGATCAGTTGGCTCTTATGGAACCTTCCAGCCTTAAGGTTCTAGATGCTTATATTGAGTTTCAAGAGGAGGGTCGTTTAGTGCAGTTCTTAACGGCTCTCTCCCCTCAGTATGAGACTATCCGTGATGGCATTCTTCACCGGTATCCTCTTCTCTCTGTGGATGCCATTGTTCGTAAGCTTCTTTCCGAAGAAACCCGTCTCAAAATGGCCAGTCAGACTCCGTCTCCATCTATCTTCTTAGCTCCTGCTCAACCCCCACTATGATCGACCTCACCGGTTCAGGCCACTGCCAAGCCAAAAAAAAGGCCCTTAGCATCCGATGAGTGTGCTTTTTGTCATCAGAAAGGTTATTGAAAGTACAACTGTCCCAAGAAGGGACGTTCATCCTCTCAGTAGTCTCAGTCCCGAGCTCCTACTTAGAGTTCTTTCCGGCCTCCCGCTGCTTATACTGCATCCAGTCCGGCTATACGTCTTGATTTGGCCTTCTTGAGTACTTAGCTTGCTGAACTTCAGCAGATCTTGTTCACCGCTCAGTCATCTTCATCTACCTTTGCTCTTACCTCTCTTCATTTAGGTTTGCTTGGGTCCTCTTTAGATATTCTTTTGTCTGTTTGGCTTTTTGATTCCGGTGCCTCTCATCATATGACTCCTTACCATTCCTTACTCCAAAATTGTATCCCCCCTCATTTTCCTATTACTATTAATACTGCTAATGGGTCTGATATGTTTCTTTCTTATCTATTGGGTCTGTTTTACCCTTTGCCATGTCTACTGTTACCAAGATTCTAAAAAGCGGTTGTGGTCGCCGTAACGGTGGCGGTGGCGCGGTTGCGGTTGCGGGGTGTGAAGGCCGTAGCGTAACGGTTGCGGTAACTGGAACTGTGAATTTTTTTATTTTTTGCACAATTGGAAAAAAACTTACCGATATGCATATTTTTTTTCCATGATTATATTTATTGGGTTAAAAATAAATATTGATCAATTTTTGTAAATTTTTAAGTATGATCCAATATATTTCATATTTTTAAATCATTCAAAAAACAAATAGCATCTCAATTCACAGACTTCCAACTATCATTAGTCACCTCTCTCTTACAATAACAAATAATATCCTCAATAATAATGATTGAATAGGCCTCACTTTAGCACTAAATTTTTTTTTTTTTTAAAAAGTACACAGTTTAATACCCCCTGGATTGGATCTGGGAGGGGTAGATTCAGTACAGACCTAACTCGTGTTCAAACTGACAACCCTAAGGTTAGAATAGGCTAAGGTTTAACCACTGAATTAGTGGCCCTTATACTATGTTCAGGTTAGTAGGCCTCACTTTTGCATTGGTATCAATGATAGAATCCACTCTAGTCCAGCCCTAGGAGGGCTGAACACCTCTGCAACGTTGTGTTCCTGTTAATCCCCCAATACAATTACCTAGTACTTCCTTAGTTCAACTGATCAACAAGCTTAGCATCCATCGTAAACCTTCATTCAGTCATATAGTGTGTGTGTGTGTGTGTGTGTGGGCGCACGTCCCAAATTTGTAGCTGCCTTCATTCTATCATGATGTAGAACATAGCACAGCAAATGCTTAGACTACAATACAGACACATCCTGAGCATGAAAATATGCATAATTGTTTCTATAGAACAAACAAGTCATCTCAATTTAGGAGTTCCATATCCAAGGATCTGTCCCACCATATCTTCGTCCTGGAGTGCATGATGAACAACACTGAGGATACTGCTACCTTTGTGCTTTTCCATTGCGTTGGTCTCTACTTCTCAAAAGTGAGTGGGTCCATTAGTTCAAGGATTTTCAGACCCCCAGCATGGCCATAAGCCTTTATGTGATCATCTTGAAGTCCTCTACATATGTTCAGTTATTACCCTTCAATAATCTCTCCCTGGTTTACCATTGTTAGATGGAGACATTAACAAATGATTTATGGCATTCTCAGCAAGCATGGACACAAGAAGGATGGTTCCTAGATCCATTGTTTACGTGTTTGAGTGTATCAAAGAAGTCTTGGTGTCTGACACAACATCAACATGGAGACAACTCTACAGAGAGTTCCCAAGTTACCTAGATGATCATACCAACAGTGGTGTAGAACCAGAAAATGAAGAAGTACAATTAGAGTTTCTGAATTCTCTCAATCAATATTCATCAAGCAAAACATGAGTATATCCCTTACAGAATCCCATGTATGTGTGTGTGTTCCATAACCAAATAAGGAAATTCAGCGAAAAAATTAGAAAAAAAAATCCTAAAATTAAATCTCCTAAAATTATTAGGCTGTCAACTGGCGCCTCTTGAACCTAAAATATGTCTTCATGCCTTTCCATGCTTGATCACCATCAAACAGCTAAAGATATTTTTTGTATTGTAATTTTTTTTTGGCAAGTCATTTATGTATTGTAATGTTATTATAACTTGATATTTATTTTTTTATTTTCGCTTGGAAAGATTTACCTGTGACTACCCCAACCTCCCCCCCTCCCTATACAACCTAAGTGAAATAATAGAAACATATTGGCTATTTTTTTTATTCTAAGCATTCACATATGTATATCTTTTTTTCAACTAGGCAACAATCACACTTAAACCCAACATAATGTTGGAATACCGAGGGGATACCATCTAGCCCACTTTCCTCTTCAGTTTTTTTGACTTGGAAAGGTACTTACAAACAGGTGAAAAACTGCCACCAGTAGAACTTAGCATTGAGTTTATTATCTCTGAATGTATACCCCTTCTTTTGAACATAACATTCATAATGTGCTAGAACAAAAGTGTCCAGGTAACTAGACCAAAAAAGACAATGGGAAACCATAACTGTACCTCAAGTTCCTTCTTCATTGCCCTACTGATCGCATTCAATGCAAACCCTGAGGAACCAGATGTGAGGTAAGGTCTTCTATAAACCATTGCATCAGCTTCTTTCATTTTGTAAGGACCACAGCTTGTCAAGGCTTTATCACTGGCCCTCAGAGGATCCTGGATGGCAGATGAGCTGGATCAAAAATCAAATACTAACATCTATATTGTAAAATCTTCAAATAAAAAGATAAAATGATCCACATGAGTATGATAATCTTAAAATTTTCTTGCACTCTTCCTACCTGGGAAAATATTTCACCCAACAAAAAGTTGCTGAATATGGACAATGTTGATGGCAGGTTGGCATGTTTCGCTGTTAGCTTTAGTACACCATGAAGAAAAAACAGTATTAGGTTTCATCATTTGAAAAAAGGCAAAGAACATGAATGCATCACGCCTAAACGAAATTGGATAAAAATATGCACACTAGCTTGTGTGTACAGAATTTGCTTCCATCAAACTTGTCATGAATAAATTTAATACACTGAAAATTGCAGAACATCCACTAAGGTTTTTCAGAGTTTCACTGCGCTTCCAAGAGGATTTTGCCCTTATCGACATAAAATTTGTTATGAGACAATGCGTGCTAGAATAGAAATAATTTAATGAAAATTAAAACTGAAAAGAGGCAAGGGTAAACCAATACAAAACTCAGGGGAGTTTAGATTACTGCAAAAACCTTAAGGGAGAGAGCCATAATTTCAAAAATGTCACGGGAGGTCAGTATTGTGAGAATATGTGTATATTCTATATTTGGCATGATTGTGATTGTACATATTATGGGCGTAATTGTGTATAAGCGTGAATGTATTTTCCTTTTTTGGTTTTAGTGTTAGAGCTATATAATCTAGGTCTTCTTGTAATCAATTACACAATTGGAATATACAGAAATACAGAAAGCTTACATGGTATCAGAGCCACGTCTGAAATCCTGGGTCTAGCCTTGATCATTCGAAGTTCTTTCTCTTCGTTCCCGCTTGCTCGTTTGAAGTCTTCTCTGGTCTTCTCCGAAGCCACGAAGGTCTTTCTAGGCTTCTCCGAAGTCGCAATAGTCTTCTCCGAAGTCACCACAGCCCTCTCTGTCTTCGCCGAAGTCGCGACTGACTTCTGGTGCTTGGTTTGACGTTGCGACTCTAGTCTGGGTTTGAGGGATCTCTCTCTCTCTCTCTCTCTCTCTCTCTCTCTCTCTCTCTCTCTATCGCAACCTCTGTTTTGGCTCGATTTTTGGTTTTCTCTCTCTGGCTGTGTCAATCAAAGCTTCTGCTTTGGCTTTCTCTGGCCTTTGCTCTCGATTTTAGTTCTCTTTCTGCTCTCTGGTCTCTGTTTTTTTATTCCAGTCCACTAGTATTTGACCCCTCTGTCTCAACTTTGGGTTATTACAGTTTGACCCCTCAAATTTATTAGGTTTTATCACTTTGCCCCATCAGCTCCCTTCTCTTTTATTTCTGGTTCATTACAACATCAGAAGATAAAATCCAAACTATTAAATGCAAATTTACAGGTGACAACTATGCTTATTGGTCTAGTATTATGAGAAATTTTCTTCTCGGTCAAAAAAAATAGGAATATGTTTTTGTTTCTGTTTCTGGTTCTGGTTCTGGTTCTGGTTCTGTTCCTCGTCTATCGGATCTTAAACAAGAAGAACATCTAATTTCCTATGACACTTGGGATTGTGATAATGCTCAAGTTTTGACCTGGTTCCATAACTCTGTGGATGACCGTATTGAGATGATGTTCTCTAAATATAGCACTGCCAAAGAGATGTGGGATTACTTACAAAGTGTTTATCAACAGTCCAACTTTGCCAAACGATATGAGTTGGAGACAGCTATTCAGGAGCTCGTCAGCAGGATCTATCTATTCAAGATTTCTATATTGAAATGACAGGTCTCTGGGATCAGTTGGCTCTTATGGAACCTTCCAGCCTCAAGGTTCTAGATGCTTATATTGAGTTTCAGGAGCAGGGTCGTTTAGTGCAGTTCTTAACGGCTCTCTCCCCTCAGTATGAGGCTATCCGTGGTGGCATTCTTCACCGGTATCCTCTTCTCTCTGTGGATGCCATTGTTCGTAAGCTTCTCTCCGAGGAAACTCGTCTCAAAATGGCCAGTCAAACTCCGTCTCCATCTATCTTCCTAGCTCCTGCACAACCTCCACTATTATCGACCTCACCGGTTCAGGCCACTGCCAAGCCAAAAAAAAGGCCCTTAACATCCGATGAGTGTGCTTTCTGTCATCAGAAAGGTTATTGAAAGTACAGCTGTCCCAAGAAGGGACGTTCATCATCTCAGCAGTCTCAGTCCCGAGATCCTACTCAGAGTTCTTTCCGGCCTCCCGCTGCTTATACTGCATCCACTCCGGCTCCACGTCTTCATTTGGCCTTCTTGAGTACTCAGCTTGCTGAACTTCAGCAGATCTTGTCCACCGCTTAGTCATCTTCATCTACCTTTGCTCTCACCTTTTTTCATTCAGGTTTGCTTGGGTCCTCTTTAGGTATTTGTAGACACCCCATTTTTTACCGACCTTAAGACTCAGACGTCACCGATTAAGCGCTTGGTGATGTTGCATATTGTGCTCGTTCTGAGGTTTCAAAGTTTCGGCTGCGAGCCTTGCCTCCAGACTTCGGGGCTCTTGCGTGCTTTGCCTCAGTTCACGAACCAGGCTCGGTTTTCTCTGTTTCTCTTTCAGAAGGGAGAGAGAGGTCTCGTAGATCATCTCTCAGTGGCCGTAGGCTACGTTCTATGGTCGTAGGCCATTTTGCCCGTTTGGAGTCCGGTTTCCGATTTTTCCGAGCCGTTGGCCGTGTGCCTCGGTTCGGGACCGCTTAACCACCTCCGTTTGCTCCGATTTTTGGCATGCATCTTATTTACTCCCTTTTGAAGGACACTGTGGTCCGAAAAACCAACTTCGTGGTCGAACACCACTTCTGGTGCCTAACAGTCAGTTTTTGGGGCCTCGGGCTGCGCGTTTCGGCCCCGATCCTTCATTTTGCATCGGTTTGGGTTCATTTTTGGCAGGAACCTCTGTTTCATTGTTAGAAAGGTCGTAGAAGGGTGGGAGGCCAGTAATTGTTCTGACAACCAGTTTTATCCCTCCATCGCCCTCCGTCGCCCGTTTTTCTCACTTGAAAGCCAATGTTGACCACCCTAAGGCCACTTTTTCTTGCCCCAAACCACTTATTTGTGTTGTACACACCTGGGAGGCCACCAATATCATATGGTCGGCCAGTAATTCTTTGTGACCCTTTTGAACCCCTCCTAAAAGTGGCCTTTTCTCTCTCCCTGGTTCATTTTCTCCAATTTTTGACCACATGGTTGTGTTGTGCACACATAGGAGGCCACCAATTTGGGGTGGCCGGCCACTAATGTTGATTGACCCTTTTGACCCTTGGCCGGCCGGCCACCTAAACCCTAGAAAAGCAGCCGGCCATGATCCTCTCTCCAGGTACTTTACAGATATGCATTATGTTTCCCCCCAGATTTTGTATCCGGGGGGCTGCACTTTTGGGGGGAAACTTGAGATTCTTTCCCCCCCATTTTTCCCCCATTTTCTCCCCTCTTTTGCCTATATATCAGGCCCTCCAGCTCCCATTATAGAGGTTACAAAAATTGGTTCAAGCATCTTGCATTGATCCTCCCTCTCCTTCTCTTCCAAGCACCAAAACCTCTCCAAACCCTAACCATTTCTACACCACCACCTAGCACCATACCACCACCATCCATTCCAGCCACTTGGAGCTATTTTCCAGAGCTAAGGAGCCACCAAACTTGGTCCAAGAGTTGTCAAAGCTTTGTCTACAAGGGTAAGTCTTCATTCTCCCTCTTTTGTGCTCTATTTTGCTCAATATATTAGCTCCTCTTGCTTGCATATTTGGGCTCCGACCCTAATTGAAAATAGCATTATTTTGAAGTCTTTTTCATGTTTGTTTAAAGGCCTCTCCCTGTTTGAGGCTTCCTTTTTACACTTGCTTCTTTACCTCTCTTGTATGCCTCTTTCTTGCATAGTATTTTAGGCCTATTTGTAAACTGTTTTGGGCTCGGTTATAAACTGTAAAGTGGCTTATTTTGAGCCCTTCTTCAACATTGTTGAAGGGCTCTTCACTGTTTGAGACTTCCTTTTGGCACTTGCCTCTTTATCCCTTTTTTGGCCACATTTTTGCATGTTTTGTTAGCCCCTTGTGCTTATATTTTTGGGCTCTGGTCCGAAATGTAAATAGCCTTATTTTGACCCCCTCTTCATGTTTGATCAAGGGACCTTTGCTGTTTGAAGTTCCCTTTTTGCTCTTTGTGTTTAAACCTCTTTTTAGGCATTATTTTGCATAGTATTTTAAGCTTGCATGTGCATTGTTTTGGGTTTGGTCACTAACTATAAAACACCATGTTTTGGGCCCCACTTCAACTTTCTTGAAGGGTCCTCCTCTGTTTGAGGCCAGCAACCATCACTTGCTTCTTTGTCTCCCTTTTGGCCCATTTCTTGCACAATAGGTTAGCCATACTTGTGTTTGTTTTCGTGGCTTGTTGTAAACTGTAAAGTGCTTAATTTCGAGCCCCTCTTCAACTTTGTTGAAGGGCTCTTGGCCATTTAGGGCCAAAAGCTGCTACTAGCTTCATTACTTTTCTTACGGGGCCATTTTTGCATGCTAGCTTAGTCTTATTTGTGTCCATTGTTTGGCCTTGCTTAAAACTGCAAATATGCTTGTTTTGGGACTGTCTTGATTCTGTCTTCACACTTCATGTTCAAATAATGCATGCTTTGCATAGCCATAGGTCATTCCATGTACCTAATTTCATGTTTCGGGTCTCATTCCATGTATCGGGTGCCATGTTTCCATGTTCTGGGGCCGTTTTGCATCATATTTTGCTACTGAAATTTGCATGCTAGTATGCCATATTCCATGCCTTGCCATGTCTTGTTAGAGTGACATTTAGTGCCTTAGGGTCGGTCCTCGGTTTGCGTGCATGTGTGCACGCATTTCGAGTGTCTCATTTTTCATCTCTTGGCTACTGATGTGAGTGTGGCTGAGGTCCATTCATGTTGGTATAAGTCCATTGTGCATTGTGTATGCCATTTCATTTCATAGCTGTCACGACCCAAACCCGGCCCTATGGGTTTAGCACCGTAACCGGCCAGTAATCCGAGATTACCGAAGGCCTGCTTAACAGTAATACAGTAAAACAGAGTACAGGGCCTGGCGGAAGCCAATACAGTAAATAAATAATGTCCATTGAGCTGTGACAGTCTGTATGCCAAAAAGATTTTTCATGCATTAATACATAAACAGTACAGAACAGTATGTACAATATTGACATCCATTCAAACTAGGGACTCAACCCTACATAACAGTACAGAAAACATTCCGTCTGTACAAAACAGTACGGTCTATACAAAATTTACAGTCACACAGAACAGGGACCTAATCCCTTGATAACAGTACGGTAAACATTCAGTCTATACAGAACAGTTAGACAGTAC